GATTTGCGCAATAGCAGAACTAGGCTCCCTATATTCACCATCTTTCTCTTTTTTCTTTTTCCTTTTTTTCTTTTTTTCTTTTTTTTTTTTTTTTTGAGATGGAGTCTCGCTCTGTCACCCAGGCTGGAGTGCAATGGCGGGATCTCGGCTCACTGCAACCTCCGCCTTGCGGGTTCAAGCAATTCTCCTGCCTCAGCCTCCCGAGCAGCTGGGATTACAGGTACCCACCACCACTCCCAGCTAATTTTTGTATTTTTAAGAGACGGGGGTTTCACTGTGTTGGCCCGGTTGGTCTCGAACTCCGGACCTCATGATCCACCCACCTCGGCCTCCCAAAGTTCACAAGCGTAAGCCACTGCTCCTGGCCCATCTTTCTCTTCTTTAGGGTGGTGTGCATGCATCCCCTCTGCCTGGAATACTCTTCTTTCAGAATTCAGTTTAGAGGTCGCTTCCTCCAGGAAGGCTTCCTTGATGTTCTCCCCACTCAGAGTTGGTCAGGTGTTCCTTCTCCAGGGGTCCACATTTCCCTCTACCTCCCTCACTGTGACCCCTGCCACTTAGTATCAAAATCATCTATCAACATGTCCTTGGTAAGGTGCGCTCCCCGAGGGCCAACCCACTGGCTCCTGCACCTCAAGTTCCAGACAACAGCACGTGCTCCATTAATATATGGTAAATAAATCAATAAAAGGGCTGAAAGGGCAAAAAGGAAAGTTGAAAAGTAGGAAAGAGGAAGGTCTGTCCTTGGGCCATCTGGGAGCTCCCTCTCCTTGCGATGCTGAGAATGGGTCTCCCTCTGGAGCCATGGGAAAAGCAGGAGCCCCCTGACTTCCCGACAGGATACACCAGGGAAAGAGCCCATCAACCAATACCGAGCCTTTACTAAGCATGGACAGGGCCAGCTCCCCCATCTGTGCAGGAAGGGGGACACGAGAGAAACAGTCCTGGCTCCTACTTAGATGACAAAGAAGCCCTCCCCAGCGCCTCCGCTCACAGTGTTCTTTCTCCCAGTCTGCTTGTCCCTGTGGCGTGTCCTGCACAGCTGGTACTTGGGAGTCAGTGTTCCATTCTCCATTTGCTTAAGCTGCCCGATTTCTCCCGAGATAACCTCCCCACACAAAGCTGATCTGCATAATTAAGTCTGCCTCATTCGCTACTTTCTTTCGTATGTATGTGTGTCTGGCTGAGTGGCCCTAGGGGCGCTAAACATATTACCAATAACATCTCCTTTACCACACTGGGAAATCCCCCAAGGCATGAACTGTGTATGGTTCACCCCTGAATCCCTCAAACCCAGCAAAGGACCTGGTGTCCAGGAAGGTACTTGGGAAGTTGGCACTGGATATACGACTGCCCAAGTCAACTGCACTGGGGCCACCAGAGGCCCATGTCCCACTCATGAAAATAGACACCACGAGGTAACACTCATTTTCCTGCTTCCAAACATTCACTGCCCCTCCCCTCCGGCAGGGCTCAAAAGACCCCTGGCTACCCCAGAATGTCAGCTAAAGACAAAGACCAGCCCCTCCTTCAGCCAGTGACGTGTGCCAGCCCAGATGTGGGCCCTGCTCAGTCCCAGACTCCCCAGGGAGCTCACATCGATCAGATCGGAGACGTCATGGATGTAGTATTTGCTTATAGCTGCGTTGGTGGCTGCCAGATTGAGCAAGTAGTCATTCCGGGCCTTTGTGCATTTCAGCTTGTTTTCAGAGTACTTGGCCTGCCTCTGGAAGAAGAAAAGAGTAGAAGTAAGAAAAGCCATTTAAGAGGATGGGATTTGTGATTTTTTTTTTTTTTTTTTTT